TACACATCTCCTTCCTCTTTCTGCCAGAAAACCCAGTCATCTGAGTACAGCAGTGAAGGAAGGAAAACACTTGGATGCAGGGAACATCAATCTCTTTTTGTACACAAATAACCAACTGGCAGGGAACAAGGAAAATATTAGGGCAATGAAATCTATCCTTCCCTAAGTGTCACATTCCTGATCCAGCCATAGAGGGATGTAGAGGGAAGCTCAGAAGAAGACAGAACAATGAAATCTGGCAAGCCTCTCTTTTGCACTTCTGCATTTCTTTTTTCCTTAAATATGTCTCTCTAATCCTTTTCTTCAGTGAAACTGTTCCAATAATAAATTGTTTCAGGGCTTTTACAAACTCATTTTTTCACTGTGTGAAGTATGATATATTATGTTCATGACCTGATTTGATTTTTGTATATATATATATGCATGCATAAGAATCAAACAGTGTGGAACATGATATAGCTATATAGAGATAAAAGGCTCCTTGCATACACATGGTCTTATACGCATTGTATAATAGATGGTTTAATCCTTTCTATATGGCCATATATACACAAGTATGAGAGAAATGGGATACTTTACCAGCAAAGGTCTGCAAGGATAGATGCAGCTCATACTGGAAAGACCATACATTTGCTGCTATAGCTTAGTCCACCTCCTTTTTCCTCAGAAGAGCCAGCATCTATCTACACAGGCCTCAGCTGTGTCAGTCAGGGACAACGTCTATTCACGCCCCTAACAAACTAGCTATGGCAGCAGAAGTCTGCAGTGGAGAAAGGATCTCAGTCAAGATTAATTTCATTCAAGTCCTGGGGCTCCCTACATGGAAAGGTAGTGTGGATGAACAGAGAATCTGCACTGTTACATCTAATTAGGCAAGATTGAGAAGGATGGGCACGGGGTGATTTTGCCATATCCGTTTACCTAGTGAGCAGCTGAGCACGACGTTGTGTAGGAAACCTGTGCAAAAGAATTTATAAGGAGCACTGGGGGCAGAGTCCAAAACCTCACTCCCTGAACTGGCTCCTATGCTGAAAGCCAATTTCATCTCTCCTGCCTAAAATGACTGTACAGTGGACAAGGAGCATATTTTCATGATGAGCATGATAAGCATGAGATATGAAGACCTAAAGACACTCAAACAATCTGTAAGAGGTCAAGCAGTGAGAGAAGAATATGTAGATACAGAAGGCTAGAAGTCCAGACCAGGAGCTAGACAATAATGTTAAACAGCCTTTGTTAAGTGATACATTTTACAATTCTTGGTAGGGCTCAGAGGAGGAGGGGGGATTGTTTCCCAGCTCTTTGATATCCAGTCATTTAGCACTGTACTTTGTATGTATGGATTTGCTGTTATGAAGTGTTAACAGGTTTCTGGGAGAGGTGCCATCTGTGACAAAGCTTTTGAGTTTTGATCAGTCCCTTTTATATTTCCTGCTTTGTACTTTGCAGAATCTTAGATGTATTAGTAGTTCATACACAACTCTCCTTTATTAGCTTTTAAAATGTCTTTGTTTTACCATGTTCAGGGTTAGGGGTGTTAAAAGAGTGCAAAGGTGCTACAGATCTTATTAAAAGAAGTGCTTTCAAGGATGTTCAGTATTTTTGCTTTCAGACTGGTGAGACTCTCATACTTTCCTTCTGTGTTCTGTTTTGCAATTTTCTGAGAGCTGGGGGCCATTCTTCTAGTGAAACATGTTTAACCTCAGGGGCTTTCTGATCAAGTCCTTGTCAATAGTTGCTGTTACCTCTTATTCCAACTGGTGATTTCCTTTGGTGCTCAGTTTTCCCGATTATTCTCTAAATGGCATATTTTCCTGGTTTGGACCTGCTGCAGTCTCTGTAGATCCTCATTAGTTTATAAAAGCTTTCCATTTATTCTTTGCTGGAGCATTTGCCAGGATCAGAGTTGAGACATTTAAGCAGGTCACAGAAGCTCTCTTAGGGCAAGCAGCTTGCTTAGCCTTTTTTGTGAGTGCATGTCACTGACTTCAGTGATGCTTGGTGTAGAGAGTATCATGACAGTAAAAAGGTCTCTGGTTTGGAATAGTTGTCATTTCTGCAAAACAGGCTTTGTGCAGGGAACCCTACAAAGCTTGGGGAATGGAACTGCAGACTTAGTGACCTTGAAACAAGCTGCTGTTGCCTGACCATACCATGGAGATCAACCACGCCCAGAACACAGCTAGCAGTGCCCTCTTACATTTCCCTCAAGGAAACCATATCCCAAGGAAAATAATCAAAGTCCTTGAGGTTGTGTTTTCATGCCCTAGTGTCGAAAAATCACGAGATATGACTACAAATCCTGAGGCTTAAAAGACAATAATAACAATTTTGAAGCTTGTTAATTTGCCTTTTGGGTCTTTAGATTTTAAGGTGCAGTTTGAAAACACAATGAAGCTCCTCCTGATAAGGACTAGTAACTTCCCTTTTAAATAAAGAAGATGTGAAATTCTCATAATCCACAAGTATCTGGACTCCAGTGGGGGTGGGGGGAAGGTTGGAGGGATAAAGAAAAAATGCTGTGAATTTTGCAATAAAATTGCAAGACTTGGCTACACTGATACTGTTAGTGTGAAATGGAGCAGGTTTCCTCGCTTTCTGGCATAGCGGATATACAGATCTGAAGTGGTGCAGCATTTTGTGAGAGTCCATGCAACTGCTCTCTCCTGGGCCTACCCTGAACATAGTTTTCTCACTCCCCCTCTCCTCTCTGGCTGGTGTGGCAGGAGCCACTGATTCTGTTTCAATCAATTTGAAACAAAAGCCCCTGTGTATTTCAAATTGTAAAGTTCAGCCATTTGCACATCTTCTGGATATTACTGCTGATTCTTCACTATGGACCTAATTTAAATCCCAAGTCAATAGGGAGAATTGCCATTAACTTCACTGGGCTTTAGATCATGCCCAAGACTTTCTATTATTTCAAAAGAAGGTCTTTTATCTCTTCAACAGCACAGCCTTGCAGTTAAATTGCTTCCCTACATCAGAGAGATGAGGGGTGGAAAACCAGGCCCACTGACAACTACAGAACAGTCTGCAAACTTACCTGGAATCTGTGGAAGTCTGCAGGTTTGAAATCATTAGGTGAACAGCCACACCAGTCCACAATGTGCTTGTACTGACATTTGCAGCCCAGTTTACGGTTCCAGTTAGTGATCCGCAAGTTGTTGTCCACCATGGAATCACAGTAAAGGCTATTTTCCAGAACAGTATGAAAGAACGACTGCAAAACAGGTAACAAAGTTTGATAACTTTTAGCTCCTCAGACTTGCATTCTCATTATCTTAGTTAGCTCAGAAAACCAGCCCACTAGTCTGAACCTTGACCCACATATGGCTCAGCTTCTTTACAAGGAGGAGGTAATTTCTCCTGTAGCTTTGTCACGATTCCTTCTGTACAGCGTGAACAGGATAGCATTGCACACCTGCTGCCAAACAGTAACAGAGTATGGGGGGAAGCAGGGTACAAGAGACTTATAGGGCACCAGAATGATTGTAATTTAGATTTCTGGGACAACTAGCTTTGTGATCCTGAAAGGCACCGTCATTACTATGCTGCATTTATTTCAGCTGTATGAGCCATTCCAGTACAAAAAACCAAAACATTTTGCCTTCTGTAAGTTACTTTCTGGTTTACTGGGCTCAAGACATATCTTTAGAGACATGGGGATGGTAAATTTCAATGTATTTTCTAGGATGATTTTCAAACTGCCTCTCTCACAATGGTTATTGATGAAAAAATAAACAGGTTCATAGTCAATTCTTCTGTTAGTCTGCCTACTCTGAGTACCAAAGATTACTTGTAATGAGCTGCTAGTTGAATGACCTCACACTGAAATATACAATTCACCCCAGGCACCAGGAAGACATTATGTCTCCTGCAATTATGTCTGAAATCATAAGTCTTTATTTGCTGACTCAAGGCAGCAAGGAATTCCTATTGGGCCACCCCAATTATATCACCATAATTTCAGCTATTACATTAATCATGTGTAATGGGGACAAATGTAGCAGGTTACCAGGTCAGCAAAGGCAGAATGATTTTAGAAGCTTAGACCTGTACCCAGCAGAGAAAACCTCATGGAGGGAAGCAGCAAAACAGGATCAAATTTAGCTCTGCAAAAGATGATTTCAGAAGCAATGACTTCTGTTTAAAATCAACTATAGAACAGTCTATAAATAAATGGCATAGCATTAACATGGCTGGCCCCCAAATAATCCCCCTACCCTTTTTTAATGTTAAATGACAGCTCAGTGAATATGGATTTTATGCTTGAATTGTCTGGTTAAACCCATAAAGGCATACATTTTCATTCAAGCGAGAATAAAAAAGCTACCCAATTACCCATTGCCCTGTGTCCTTTCATAATGATACAGAAATTCTCTGCAAGATAATGGATGAAAAGGTTATCAGAGTGGAGCGGAAGGGTGATTTTTAGCAGGAATAGGATTAAAGAGATCTTATTTAACATGTGTGTAGAATAAGAAACCCTATCAAACTATGGCAATCACTGTGCTCCATTGAATGATTATTATCCTAAATTTTAAAATCTGGTCAGTCCATCTATCAAACACGCAGAGGCTGCCACTGAAGAGGGAGGTATCATTAAAAGACAGTCATCAGGTCAATGTTCATACTTTGGGAAAAGGGCCTGACACCCAGGGTAACAATATACCTGCCACCACAGGTGTAGAACAGTCAGTGAACATGTCAGACTGTAGCAAAACCCCCAGTTTTAATTTTTTTTTCTTTTAAAATGCATTCCCTCCCCTTCCCCAACCATTTCTGACTTTTTCTTTCCCTCTCTATTCCCTATAGATAAGTATAAGCGAGCTAAGACATAGGATAAGCTCCAGCATTTCACTTTGGTAGCAAGTTGTATTTGTTTTGTTTTTTCTCCTTTATATTGTATAATTATTATGTTTATGTTGATTTTTACTGTTCTATATTACTGTTTTACTGGCACTATATGATTTAGGCTTACATATGTAAGTTAGCATAAGTCATGTCAAGTTTCCATGTTGTTTGTCAAGTTTCCATCCTGTCCCCAGGCCCCGTTCTGTAACCCATGACTCACACCTACCCCACCTATGTAACTTGGTTCTTGAATGAATGGGGATGAATGAGGGTGCCTGAGAGACAAGGGCAGTAGATCTAAAATTAGCTCCCTCTGAATGACCAAACCATCAACACCAGTACCTGAACCAACGACCCAGCCCTTGGAACCACCCTCAGCATTCAAGAAACAAAAGATGAGGCAACCCACCATGGAGCCAAGGCTGCGCATGCTCAGTAAGAACACCTGGAGCCCTCTGGAACAGGACTGACATTGCCTGAACAGGCCCTACCCATAGGAGATCAGAGGTAGTCTGCCGCATAAAAGGGGCAGTGAAGACTGACTCCTTGGGATGCCCTCTCCACCTGGATCAGCACCATGCCACACTACCTATCCACCCAGAGGCCCTGCCGGTGACCCCGCTCTGGACAACACCTACTGGACAAGGACTCCTTTTCTGTCTGGATAGGTAGCTATCATCCCTCACCCCCTCTTCAACCAAGGACTTGGATTCTGCTTCTCTTCCCCACCTGGACTCCAGCCCTTCCACTGAGTCTCTTTCTCCTGCTGCCATTGTGTGTGTGTGTGTGTGTGTGTGTGTGTGTGTGTG